CTATGCCTTCAATGGAAGTTTAAGGGGACTTTGAGGACACACATGCCTGAGCTTAAAAATACCAAAGCTTTTTTCTGTGTCCTAGGGTTAAATCCCATATACAAATGACATACGGATTTCATTTGCCAACATCATTTATTGCTTAACATTACTCCATGCTAAACAGAGTAAATGGATGCAGAGGGTAACCAATAAGTTTGCTCATTCACTTTTGAAGCCCATCTGGGTATGTTATTCATCCTAGTAAAGAAAATTTATCACAACGCAACTTAATGTGATTCTTGTTCAAATGATTTCTTCCTCCACTGAAATCCAGCATTTAAACCTAGAATTCCCCTGAATTCTCTGCTCCATTCCTTTTTAAAATGCAATTCACAGTTTGAGATTACAGAGCCTGCCAGTGGATGAATGGCTGCTCTAGATGGCTGAGAGTCCTTCAATTAAGCAGCAATTTTGCAATTAGTGGAAACTGAGTGCTCCATAACAATCGTTTGAAAACAAGTTGAGAAAAGTTAGCAATTACCCAATTAAAGGGACATATTCACTCGCATTTGGCTGAGCTGGCCCCCTCAGACAAATTGCAATCTTCCATACAGAGAGTTGAAAATTATGTTTCAACCATTAAAATAAATTCGCTATTATAGACATCAAAATGGGAGTGCCTTTCATTTTAAAAGATCTTCAGAGTTTAGCTATCATACAATTTCCATGCTCTCTTTTCATTCATGAAATCGAGAATTATTCTCTCTACTCTGGGACTAACTTCCTAGTTCTTAAAATGTTAATGAACTGCGTGCATATGACCTTTCCATTGTGTGTATCTTCAATATGCTTGAAGTTTAGTAGAAGAGTAAGTCCATGATTGAGACCCAAAGCTGCTGGCTGTTACATTCCACAAGTTCACTAACTGGATATAGAATATAGAGCTCTGTGTGCTCCGTGTGTCTGAAGTGGGGGGTGGGGGGATATTTACAGAACGGTTTAAACACAAACGTAAAAACATGTAACAGAGCTCTTTGCTATTATCAGGTGGACCTGCCCAGCTTGCTGTGTGTACTCAACTACAAACCAGAGCTATTTATGTTTGAAAAAAATGAGATTATCAATCATCTGCATTTGGACTACTGAAAAGTTAAGATTCCAGGAAGAAGGGAATAGCTTACATTCTAATGGTGCCCCTATTAAACAGGAAACCAAAGGACTTTAAGCCAGGATTTTAGAAACTTGCATTTACAGGATTCCCCCCCTCCTGGTAAATCACAATGAACCAGCAATATTCCAGCACCTCCCCACCCCACTTTGGCCCAGTTTTAGACAATTAATTCACCTAGTACAAATGAATCATTTGCTTTTTAGGCAAATGATCCTTTTTTCAGTTCCTCTTGTTCGAAAGTAAAAGTTACACTTACTGAGAAGACATCCTAAAACAGATTTCTTTAATGCTTTATTCTGTGGATACTTAAATGTTGACCTACTTTATATCTTAAATGACCTTAAATATTACCTTAAAATAAACATGATTTCCAGTTACTAATTCAGTTCTGAATGGGCTATGAATGGCTCCAAAAGTATGTGAAAAATTACTCTGTTATTTTGCTTTTAAAAAAATGTGATGTCTAAGTGTGTATGCAATGTTCTAATGCTTCAAAACATGTACGTGGGTCTTGTTTATCTGGAAATCATTTCTTTCTGCTTATATCATTTATAAATAGAATATGTTCTGTAATAACTTAAAATAGCCCTACCTACATAACAATTCTATCAAAATACTTATTACCAGTCTGTATTTACCAGCATTTATCACATTTTGCAAAATAATGTAGAAAAAAAAAAGACAACGATTTTATGACCCTGGAATTCCAGTAATGATAATCAACGTGTTTTAAATTCCAGTAAAAGTTATGGTTACATTTCAACAAGTGTCTCTTTCCTTTCTCTTACCTCTGCTGCTAGCCCAGAGGTAAACTCACAAAAGAAAAATCTTAAAGAAGGTGTTCGCAAAATCAGGCAACAGGAGTTAGTGAGTGTTTTAAAGGGGTGCTGGTCCCAGGGCCAAGAATTGGCAATCTCTATGTGCAATGTGTGATGTGACCTATTACGTGCAACAACATGGAGCACTACGTGCCATAATCTCAGAAACTTCAAGTTAAAAATGATAATGTTTTGCAGGAGGTAAACAATGAGGGTTCCCACATTTAGACGAAATAAATCTGTAATTATACCTCAATAAATAAAAATATTTTAAAAAAGTATATAATTTTAAGACCAAAATAGCTTTTGACCTTATATAAACACAAACAGAAATAAATTTTTGGATAAAAACAGAGAAGGGGTATTTTCCAAGAAGTAGAGCCAATTTGAAGATCTTATTTAGTAGCATAACACGTTTTATATGCAGTTTAAAAACAACAACGTTCCCAATTAGACACTGGTTTGCTTTAAAAGATAACTGTACTAGGAGAATTAATAAACATTCAGAAATATGATTTTCTTTGCTTCTGGCCAAGAACGTTCCTGCATTCTTGTCAAAAAATGTTCACTGGCTACTACTGACATTGTGAGGGGTAACTGTAAGATACCTGAAGAACCCAGAAATAAGATCCAGGGAGCCCTAACACACCACCAACTGTGGTCTGTCCTGTGGTGTGTCATAACTCCCCCAGCGTGAGGAAAACTTTTTGCTTTGGAGCCAAAGAGGAGCACGGGTCAAATACATCAGAGTCGGGAGTCAGCAGCATCATTCAACAAGTCCCTCCTACCAGCTCCCCAAGGGATCCCGGAAAGTCATCCCTTACCACTTCCCCACCCCCAGCCTCCCGGCCCCCAGCAGCTGCTCTGGGTAACTTGGCCGGCAGAGGGCACCCTCTACCTTCCCTAGCACCAAGCTCCCTGCCCCCTCCTCCTCGCCCCCCAAGCCCAGTCCCTCCACCCCGCTCCACCCCGCTCCACCCCCAACACACAAACACAGCATCCTCCGACCGCGAATCCAGTTCACTCCAGCAACCCCAAGACTTTTCTCTCCTGGGGGTACCCCCAGTCTGCAATTTCCCTTCTCAGCCCGTCGGGCAGAAAGCCCCCAATCCTCAGCAATTTCTTTCCAGGCACAGCTCACCCATTCCTTCTTCCCGGCTTTGCATCCCCAGAGACCCACCCGAGAGTCAAGACACCCCATCCTGCTCCGGAAAGTCAAAACTTGTAATTCCCTGGAAGGTGCTCCAAGGGAGGGCCGCGGGATGGGGAGAAGTGTGGGCGCAGCCAGCGCCGGAGTCCCGCAGCCCCTTTCAGGTCCGAGCTGCAGGAGTGTCTCAAGTTTTCCGAGATATACTGGCACTGGACCTGTGTAAGTCCGCTTTGGTCTCAAATCCTGAGGCGCAGGTGACCGTGTGCAGCCTGGCCGGAGCCCCGGGGGCGGTGGTGTGGGCTGAGGGAGCAAGGGACCCCCCAAAATCTGCGCGGGGACCGCCAGCCCACAGGAAAGATACATATCCCAGCTCCGACACAGTCACCGCAGTCAGGGCCCCGACAGCTGGCGCCCTAAATCTCTCACGACCCGGGCTGTGCTAGGGGAGGGTTTCGGGGGATCCCCGGGGCGCCGTCTCCGCTCCTGCTGAGCAGCTCCGCGTCTCCTCTAGGCTTTTTCTCCCCCACTTCAGGGCTGCCCGGGGTCCCTCTCCCTCGGGGGGTCCTGGCTGCTCTCTGGGCCGCGGGATGCCGAGGAGAAAGCTCCGCCGGAGCAACTCCAAGTCCCCCTTTTCCTGGAGGGGAGGAAAGGAGTTCCAACCTCTTCCCACAACTTCGGGGCCCCCCAACCAACTTTCCCCCGAGGACGGGAGGCTCCCGCGCCAAGCCCCACGCCCGCTACTCGCCTACCTCGGAGTCCACACAAAGCTCACGGGTCCCCGGCGGAGGAGTCACATCGTTACCTCGCTCCTGGCCCCTGAACCCAGCCCGGATCCCCGTCGCGGAGCCGCTGGCCGCTGGCCGCCGGCCCCACAGCAGCAGTGGCAACTGCAGTTCAAGTGTCTCATCAAAGCTTCCCGAGGAGGAGGCGGGGGGCGCGCCGGGCCGGCTTCTCGGCCCCGCCCGGGAGCCCGCGGCGCGACGGGGGGCGCGGGACAGCGAGCGGGCGGGTGCGCCCGGGCGCGGCGGCGGCGGGGACCGGGAGCTCCAGCCTGCGCCTCGAGCTCCGGTCAGACATTATTTAGCTCTTCGGTTGAGCTTCGATTGGTCAAACGGCACCGCCCCCCGCCCCCCTCCCCCGGCTCGCCCGCGCCACCGATACCCGTGCGGGGCGGCCGCTTAAAGGGAACGCCGCGCCTTTTCCTCGCTCTGGCTCAGCCCCTGGGACTCCCGGGGCTCCCCGGGTCCGTGCACCCCCCTCCGCCTGTCCCTGGGACCCCGCGACGTGTCCCCGCAAGCCCCGCGCCCGCCCGGGGTGCCGGGGCAGGACGTACGCGCCGCGCCCGCTGCTTCGAGGAGCTACCTACCCCCGCCCGGGGAAACCCCGCATCCGCGCCCTTCGCGGAAACCCCGGCTGTGCGCGCCGGGGCGGGAAGGAGCTGTTGCGAATCGAGCGTCCCCGGGGTCTTGCTCCCCTCCCTTGTAACTCCCTCCGCCCCATCCCAGCACCCAAGTTCTGCGGGAGAGGGCGTGCATTTCCCGGGCCAGGAGACACACCTTCCCACACCTTCCCGCACCTTCCCGCACGACGGAGCTGCAAACGCGAGCACACAATGAAATCGCACGGAGCATGGGGGCTATTGGTTTACTCCGCTGCCTTAAACACGTCGGCTTAAACAGAGTTCGTGCACTGACCTCTCCAGAGTTTGCCTAGTAGGAATTCAATCAAGATAATGACGGCATTTTTTATTAATGAATGCCCCCAGATAACGTTACATCAAGTTACTTGCTCCAGCCAGTAATGACAGAGCTCACTAAAGCCAAACGCTTTCTAGCCGACCAGAGAAAAACGGAAAGAGAAAGAAAGAAAAGAAACCCACCTTTTCAGTCACTACTTGTCAAAGTAAACATCAAGGCAGCTGCTCTGGGGAAGACTTCGGCCCCAAAACTCCCAGACTCTATTATTATTATTTTTTTCACGTTCCCTTTGGTTAAAAAGAAGTGGGGGGTGCGAGTCTTTGGTGCCCGGTATGTACTCCTTCTGTTCTGCAGCAAAGAAGTTAAATTATTGATAGTGGAAATTGCATGGCGGAGGTAATACTCGCACCCCCTGAGCGAGGAGCTCCATTTGATCTCGGCAGGGGCAGGGAGATTTCATGCTAGCTCGCCAGGGGGAGCGGCAGCGCGAGCAGCCCTCTCCGCGGTGAATGGGAAAGTGGGTGGGAGTCCACGAGAGGGCTCCACGGTGCCTTGACGCGCGGTGTCATATGATACCTCCGCTGCCTCGAAATAGACACACTAGTGCACGAATTACCAGAATCAAAATTCAGCGCATTTAAAATGATACATCTTTTATTAGAAGAGTTCCGTTCCAGGGCATTGCATGGTTTTGCAGATGTTTTCACTTCTCTCCCTAGCAAACTTACACACATAAACTAATCCATTTAATAATGAACCTGGGCAGCAAAGATAAAGAGCCTTCTGTTCTTACCTGTGTGTGGGGGGGGGGGGGCGGAGAGGGAGGGAAGCAGTTGGCTCAGTTAATCCTACCCTCGCGCCCCTCCCCCACCCAGCGAAGAGCAGTCTTTAGGGTGCAGGTAGCCAAGACCCTCGGAGAGAACTTAAGTGGCTAGGGTCCAGAAGACTATTTTCAATTTGCTATTGGACGAACATTGTCAACCGTCTACCTAGGTTCCTGTTTTGAAGTTGAATTTTCTTCCCATTAGTTCAACCGATTCGTAGGCTACTGGGAAAGATCTTAAAATATAGAATAAGGAACAAGACGGCAGTACTTAATTTGTAGTCCTTGGACCTGCCGCGAGCATACAAATCATCTGGGTACCTGCTAAAACGCAGATTTCTCCTCCTGAATTCATGATTTAGTAGGGGTGGGGCCGGGTCTAGGAATTAACATTTTAACAAGCATCTCAGGCAATTCGGATGCAGAAAATCTGAGGTCACGCTCTGAGAAACACTTTCTTAAGGGATGAATAAATGGGTGTCAGAGGAATCGCCCATCCACACACCCCCCAATTTGGTAGGCCAGTGTTATGTGTATGTGCATTTTTCTCTAATCTCAAAGGGGTTTGACCTAATAATTGCTAAGACTCATTGCTGTAAGAATTTCCCTAAACACTCCAACATTAATTTGGGGAAAGGGAAAGATTTACAAAGTTTCCTTTCCTGGACCCTCTTGTGGCTATCAAGAATGTGCTGTTGAACGGAGTATATAATAATATTATATCTAAGGGTTTACAGTTAACAAAATGAGTTCACTTGTGTTAGCTGTTTTAGAGCTTCTAAAGACTAGTGACAGAAACTATTATTATTTTATAAATGAAGACCCTGAGGCTCAATGCCATGAAATAATTTGCCCAAATTCACACAGCTAAATGCCAGAGAGGAGACTTCAATGAACTCAGGAACTCCAGCTAGAAATATCGGTGCCTCCCCCCACCTCAAAATAAACAAAGCTATCTGTTCCTTGGAACTGTTACCAGAAGGATTTCCCAAATTGGTGGACTGAGTAGTCAAATTGTTCAAAAACATGCATATTCTTAGCGTGTCAGACATTTAACTTTGCACTTCTATCAACGTGACAGGACACATGACCAATACAAACTACCTTACAGCACAGATGATGAGGTTTACTGTGGGATAGTTAATGCATGTGAAATCTGCAGGCTAGCCAGAAGCAATAAAGGACAGTGAGCATGAAGCTGGGCTTGGCCACCTCAGAGAAACTCTGTATCGATTCCCAGGGGTGTAGGCTGAATAGAGACACAATTTCTTTTAATACTACAAAACAATTTAAGAGACTAGATTTATAAATTAAACACACACACACATATACACACACAAACCTTGTACTATATAAAGTACTAGAGGAGCGCTACCTAAACTTTTTAAAATAACTTTATGCTAACTTCAAACCCATGCTTACTTTCCAACTTTAAATTTGCTTGAAAATGAGTTATTTCCTCAAGTTTTTAAGCTCAATTGTAATTTACTTCCTTGGAAAAATACCTACCAAGTGAAAGTCAAGAATCTTAGCATTCTTGGTGCTGCTCAGTTGGAAGTTATGGCAGATCTTCTACCTGCTAAATCCACATTGCCACATCAGCATTTTTGTGGGAGGAAAAGTGTTCTCATTTCTGAGACTCTGATTGTGTCTACGGCCAATCTTCTTATTCCCACTCTCCCTTGACGTTATACAAATAAATGTTTGTATCTCTACTTTCCAGTGTGTGGTGCAGTTTTACTGAGGAAAGACAGAGGAGTCAGAAATGGCAGGAATATTTAGAAATAAAAAAAGAACAAATGTCAATTCAGATAAACCCTTTGATGAATCAGACCTCTTGACATTTCTGAGCATTTTGAAACTTTCTGATTTGTGATTACAGTGTTACCAAAACAGTAAAAGATCAGACTTAAAATACTTTATTTGCCTTAAAAGTACATCTTACATTCAAAAACAATGAAGCTAAGATAAACTAAAGTTGTACTGGTGTGTTGCACGGAATTCTGAATAATTTTTTTATTTGTTTAGTTCAGGGAGCATATGGAGATAGTGCTAGAAGTCTAAGATCAAACTTTTTACAAAATTATTTTCCTATTATAGTCAAGGGTGATGCTGAGAATATAGAGCAAACATTTCTGATTCTCCTTAAAGATTAGTCTCTCACATGATTGATAGGTTAAGGACAAAGTTCCCAAATTCATGATCTGAACATTTTCTCAATCACCCAAAGGAGGAAAAAATTGCGTGAAAAGAAAATACTCCATATTTCACTTTTGAGGGGCTTAAAAATTAATTTTGAATTAGTTAAAATCTTTATTTTTGGTTATGGGCTAATTCTATTCTAACCCAATGTTCTAGAAGGACAAAGGTCAGAAAGAAATGTGAATTCTCATCTATTCTTGTCAGGAAACATAAACTAAGCTTCATTACCCAAGTGGGAACAGAGGCAGTAGACTCAGATTTGACATTGACATATTTTTTCTATTAAAAATTTTAATTGATGAGGTCAATTCTATCATTATAAGCATTTTATGTTTAGTTATATTTGTTTCCTAGTTACTCCTGCCTTCAATCCTCCTTGCAAAAAAATAAAAAAGTTGTCTAGAATCAAATGAGTTGACCTCAAAAACTGCTGAAAATCTTCGTAATTAGCATAGGGAAAATAATAAGTAAACAGAAAACTGTCCTGCTTCGTGGAGTGGCAAAGGTATTTTCAAAGTCATGCCGCATGATTTCAAAGGCCCAATCCAGCACTGAACTGTGTCACTTCTAATCCTACAAATTATTGAGTAAGGTCTGTCCTGAGAAAAATCTTAAAAGAGAAATAATATTCCTGTTTATTAGATGGTACTTTAATACGGGGTGTATTTCTTCTCTGTAAGCTTTTTATGAACCTTAAGAATAGCTTCCATGCCATAATCAAATGCCCAAATCGGCCAATACCTGTTACAGGAATTATGTAACCAAGCATGGCCATTAGTGGCAAACAAACAAAAAAAAGGAGCCACAGTAGGAAAATGTTAGAAGGGCCAAAATTAGGAGAATAGAACAAGAAGGTCAAAAACCGATCTCATCTGGGAATAATATTTAGTTGGATCAAGAGAAACAGCACCAAAACTGTTATAAAACAACTGAGACTAACCCCCAAACATATGAGAGTCATCAACTTGTAACCCTCTGAGTTACCAGATTTTCCCTGAGAACATTTAAAAATTAATAGTGAAGAATAAATTGGTTTACTCATTGTAATGTTTCTGTAAGCATGGTCAAAAGGATTGCAATTGTAGACTGAGAACAAATGTTAGAACTGACAGAGATAGCTGCCTGTGGTATGTTGTTGGTTTTATTGAGAGAAGAGTCATGAGAAGAATTATCAGGTTTAAACCAGAAGGTTTCAGGACATTGAATCAAATTGTAAGGAACAGATTACCTTATTTTTGAGACAATTATTTAGGCTGTTTGATGATGGCGATGAGAGATTTTCTACTGTTAAATTTCATATTCTTCATGGACAAAGTTAGAAACATGCAAAAAGAGAATTTAGAAAAAAACCATTGAGCTTCCTAAAAAACAAAATCACACTAGGAATTTGGCCTATTTTAGTATGATTCTGAATCTATACAGTGCCTATCTTGAACGGTCTGCAGGATGTACAGCTGGCTCTCTTGTCTAAATCCTCCCAATAACACAGGCATGGTAGGAATAAAATCCTCAGTGCTACACATGTGGCAACAAGGGTTGGGACTTAGATTTGTCTAGCATACAGAATCATTGGAAACATCTGAAACACTTGACTTTCTCAACTTCAGTTAATCTTCAGTTTACCATCTTCATGTCATGGTTACATTCATTCAGTTGATGAAAACTTGCTGAATACCTACTGCCAAACATTGCTCTATGTTTTGTTTTAAGATTTTATTTTTTCAGTAATCTCTACACCTAACATAGGGCCCGAACTTGCAACCCTGAGTTCAAGAGTAACATGCTCCACCGACTAAGCCAACCAGGTACCCCAACCCTTTGGACTATGTTAAAGGCAGATGAATAAAACATATTTCAGCTCTTTAGATACTCAAATTCTAGAACATAAGATCTGTCTTTTAATCCATTGGGTCATTTGTGAACTAGTTAAAGGTAGGAAATTATGTTTGGTTTTGCTTTCCTTTGTCATGGATTTGGTGTATGGGAAGATGACCTTCAACATGCTGGCAGTGGCCAGGGATATAAGTGATGGACAAGAAACTTGTTCCCAAAGCTGGAAGGGCACCTAGCAGCTGGGGAGGGCCCATCATGATTGATCAGGGCCCTAGCTACCCTTGGTTAGCAGCATTTTACAGAAGGTAGACAAAGGATAAGGGATCCTGATACAAGTAGTGGTAGGAAGGAAATGAGGCATTGTTCAGGCAAATAATTTTTCTAAGTGGTTAGGTAGATTTATA